ATAGTGATAAATCGATGTAATGCCTGAAGAAATCAATAGCTTCTTATGTTACTGTAAATTAGATCTGCTCTTCTTGTCCCTTTCTGATTAAAATCCTTCGTTAAAGTTCCTGTGTCTTTCAGGGTTCTTTCCTAAAGAGCCTTCCCTTCTGATTGAAGGAGCCTTGACAGCAAACAAGGCACTTCAGGAAGTGGAGGAGCACTTTCCTGTGTGTCCTCCATCAATGGCACTGATGAACACAAAGCTGTCAAGAAGGATTATCCCCATTACAGGGATTCTCCAGGTTTTGCTTTGTCAAATCTAAATGCTTCAGATCATCAAAATACACATATATTTTCAGACAAAGATAACCTGACTAAACACAGAAAGCAGTTTTCAGACGGTGATTTCACTTAAGAAATAGAAATAATGATAGTCCCTTAAACATTGTACTAAAATCAACTGGACTGCTCTGAAGGCAGATTTCCCAGAGGGAAACTGGGAGAAACTATAACTGATCCCAGATATAACTTAAGGCGAACTTCGTGTTTCAAAATGGCTACTACTCCTATCAACAGTGGTATACAACAGGGCCATTGCAGATAGAAAAAAATGAGTAAATTTCCACTAAAAAACAAGGAAACTTCTGAGTTTGAAAAATCGAAAATGTACTAGAAAAGACTTTCTGAGTTCACAGAAACTATTTTTAAAAATTCCTAACAAAGTCTAATTTCTTGACAAAATAAATTATAACAGTCTAATTTGCATTTGCAGAGACATTTAAAATTTAACAGTGAAAGGGAGAATTAATTATTGATAAAACATTTTTAAAGGCTCGTTTGTATTCAGCCAATTGAATATGGAGGCCTCAGCAAATGTAAAATAAGTCATAATTTGATGACTTCAGAAAAATATCATATTAGCTTCAGGAAGGCAAAACATAAAATCTTAACGGAAACTTTACATAGACGATAAGGGGGATAACATTTATGAGACACTGAATGAACTGAATTATCTATATTGTTTTATTACAAACTTCCAAAAATGTCTACAGTTTTAATAGTATTCAACTACACAAGTAACTCCCAGATGTTTCATGATTATATCAGGATTACAGTCTGCTGCAGACTATAATTAAAATAACATAAATCCATCTTTTAAAAAACATCTGCTGCAGTTCTTAGCTTTAATGTTGACGCCTTCTGAAAAGAAATGGGTATAATATTGTTGTCATCAGTTCAAGTAGAGGGAGCTAATGATGGCGACACACTCACTTTCCTCTGATTGCTGGAGTCCTTCTTGGTTGCTTTGATGAAATCACTCCGACTGTGAAGATACTCGTCGTACTCCTCCTGCGTCATGTCTCCATTCTCGAGAAGAACGTGCGGCACATGGGGCTCTGATGTGGCACAGCGGCGGTGAGCAAAGACATCAAGATGGAAACTGTCAGTTTCTGTGACTGAAAGCTTCACTGGGGAGTAAAGAGGTAATCCAAAAGCACAGAATTACGCCCACGCTGATTGTGGAATTAATTGTATCACAGTGTGGCTAAAGAAAAGAAAACTAAACGAGAAAAAGGATTAAGTTTCTCTCTTTCTTGTTAAGGGAAAGGATGAAGATTTAGTGAGAGCTGCAGTCGGCACACTCTTCCAAGTATAAGGTTTTACAAATCAGGATAAAATAACATTTGGATCATTGCCAGGTTTTAAAATAATAAAAATTTCACACTGTCACTCAGTTGAAGCTTAAACCAAAAATTCACCAGCTTAAAGCAGAAACTTTTCTATAATTTTTCTTTTTTATTCTGTATTCATTCAAAATTCATCATTTTGAATGAATTCTAACTTAGTATTTCTTTCAGTTCATTAAAGATTAGAAATATTTGTTTTCCACACACCTCCATATTGTATGAGCCCAGCACCTCAATGGACGATGGACCCCCTTTGACTGGCTAATGCAAAGGCAAAGGCAATTAGGCCATTCACTTGGGAGAGAGGAACATGTTTATGCATCCCAGTGCAGCTCAGAGTGAAGATGCTGGTCAGAAACATAAAATCTTACCAAGTATTTTAGTATTTTCTTGTGCAAAAAATCTTAGCACACTTGAAACAAGGCATAACTAATTTACAAGTAACTTCTCAGGAAGAAATAAGAGCCTGTTTTAAGTCAATAATTTCTTAATATTGCTGAAAAAGTATTAGCTATTACTTTTTCACCAATACTGAGGAATTATTAACTTTAAAGTAGCTCCTTCTTGCTGAAAAGTTACTTGTAAGTTAGTTTTTTTTTTATTTCAAGTAGGGTAATGGCACAAGAAACGACTTAAAATACTTGGTAAGATTTTGTGGTTTTGCAGTGTGTTGGTTTCCTAGACATTCACGCTTATATGATGTTTCTTCTGACTTGCTCCTTCTTTAAATGTATAAATTTTCACTTCATCAGCTCAAATATTAATGTTGATGCATCTACATTAGCCTTGGTAAATATTGTTATGCATTTATGCCAGAATTTCTTGTGGAGGTAATTTTGCCACTCCTTTCCCATTTTTTCTTAATTTTAGAAGAACTATCATGAGATTTAAACCTGGACTAGAAATATGCATAATATTTGTCAACAATAATGCATTTTAAGGTCTTACTTTTCGCACTGTATTGTCAGTAATCGAAACACAATGCTGTTGCTAAAAGCTATGTGTGAATGTTTGAAGCACAGCTCTGTCTCCTTCATCCCTTGGCTGAAGCTGAACCTCCATGCTGTGGCAGAAACAGCAGCACAAGTCTGCTGTGAATTAGATTGTCCCGGACTGACCACAGGTCTGCTTGTGAACAAAGTGCTCATAAGAGGCCCATCAGCTCAGTGTGTCCACGGCTCATTCCTGCCTCAGGGAGACAACCAGCCCACACATCCTGGAGATCAAGACGGCATTGAGGGACAAAAAAAGAGCACCACAGGAGGAAAAACCTTGGCAATGTACTCCTACACCATGAAGAGGGACTCTGCTGGCATGCAATTTATTTTTCCTGGACAGGTACTCTAAGAAAGGTAAGTGAGTCACCTCGCTGCTGATCTGATTGTGTAAAAGAAAAAAAAAAAACTAAGAGCCAATTTCAGAATGTTTTACTTGTAAATGAATAAAAGCCTAAGAGCAGAGCTGAGTTTTAAGTTATAAACTCACCGCTGGGGTAGATGAGTATTTCGACAGGGCAGTCGTAAGTGTACTTGTCAGCCAGTGTGATGACGACGCTGGTTGCTGAGCGAGCCAGAGGGTCTGCATCAGCTCGGATGGCGTGAGAAGGGCTCTCCACTCCTACACAGAGCAAACAACAAGTGGCTCTGAAACACCGGCAATTACTCCAGTCGCTAACAGCATCCTGGGCACACATTTCCAGAGGAATTCACACATAGAGGAAGCAGCGTTAACAATCGACAACTCAACAAACTTACCTGTGCAGTTTCAATTAAAAGCTGTGGAAGATATAATTAGGGCTGCAAATAAAGATTATTTTAGTATTGGATTATTCTGATGATTGGAAAATTCTGGTGATTTTATTTAAGCCTTTTCAGTATTAAAAATGCATTAAACGATGCAAATAAATAATGAGATTCCTTATAAATATTTTATTTTTTGAAATGCAATAATGTTGCTTTCCTTGATCATTTGTATCAAAGGACGCATCTGCAGCTATAAAAATAATCCTCATAACACGCGAAAAGCTCAACCTTTTCTGTTCGACTTAATATAAGTACAGTGTTGGACTGATCTGTTTATTATTATTTTATTAATAGTCAATAAGAAAAATATGTCAACTTGTTTCCACAATTTGAACTGGGCGGAGCTAAAAGTATGGCACTCGGGGTGTTTGGAGTAAAACATATCTACATTTTTTTGCATCTTAAATGCAACATTTTGTACGATTTTAGCTTAAATATTGTTCTGAATATGTTGCTCTTGCTCAAAGGAGCAAATGGCCTCCTTTGAGTCACTCCAGTTAATGATTAATTGATTACTTAAATAGTTTATTATTATCTCAACTGATTCAACACAATTAATCATTTCAGCCTTAAAGCAAACACCATGGAAAATTGCAAATTTAATCTGGTTGGTGGGAGACAGAGAAGTTGTGACTTCCTCACTTTGCAAGTCAGAGACTCAGTGATCAGCTCAGAAAAAACAACAACTTGGTTTTGAATTTTGTTTGCATGACTGTCTCTGACTGCAGCAAAAGCATGTTTGGCAGTGAGCTGTATTTGTGCAGCTCACCACCAAACACTTTCCCTTACAGTTTCTTATGATTCAGATAAGGAAATGAGATCACTGATGTCTTTTTCTCCAAATAAACTGATGGTAGATATGCAGAAACCTCCCAAGTAAGTTGAGAAATTCAGCAAATATCGAGAAAAAATTCTGGTGTCCTCAACAGCGTATTTTTATTAGGATAGGTGCATCTATTTTATTTTAGTTTTAGTGTTTTTATTATTGCATGACTGTTGGTGTTACATTGATATATGAATGTCTCTCTTGGGGATAAAGTCTATCTGTCTGAGGCAGAGAAGTGGTGTAAAACAGAAATCTTTTAAGTAACTGAGGAATCCTCTAAAATCAAACTGATCATTTTAGACAAAATATACAAGCACAGACATATGCAACACGGAGAGTGTCACCATGTTGTAGGAGTTTTTATATTACAGATGTTAAGAGCCTCCAATAATTGCATATAAACAAAAGAGATAAATCATCTAACCTGCTAGAAGGTATGGAGCTCGAATCTCCAGCTGGAAGTTAAATTCATAGTCCATGGAGTTTATGGCCTCGTCCTCCAGCAGCGCTGCCAGCCACAGTGGAGAGGCGTTTGGATTCTGATCGTGAGGACTTGAGGCACAAGTGGGTCTTTCACGACTGAAAATATAGATAATGTTTTTCAAGAACTTTAACACGCCACAACAGTCATGTTCAATATCTTACCTGAAATGTATGTATTTCGGTAAATTTATGTATTTCAGCAACTGAATCCACTTAGTGCATACACTTTCTGGGGCTAACATATTAGCATGTGAAATAAGGCAAAATTAACTAATTTTTCAGCAAGAAATATGAGCTTGTTTTAATTAAACAATTTTATAATGTAGATTTTTAAAAAGTACTTGCTCCACTAGCAGATTATTTCACCAATAAAAAGACATTTTCTCACATTAGAAGTAAAATAATCTGCCAGTAGAACTAAAACATCAATATTAAGGAATTATTAATTTAAAATATACTTCTATATTTTGCTTAAAATTTACTTGTAAATTAGTTGAGTCAAATTTCAAGTGTTCTAAGATATTTGGACTAGAAATTAGACAAAAAAAATGCTTGGTAAAGTTTAGCATTTTTACAGTGTGTTGCAATTAGTTGCACATGTACTGATGATTTTCTATTTATCAATATGATATATATATATGTATTTTTGCTTACAGTGAATGAAAACACAACATTCAAGAAGATTATAATATTAAGTGTTCAAAAAACCAAAATGATTTCATGAAAAATACGTTTAATATCATCTTAAAGATTGCTATTATCTAAAAGTACTTTTAATGTGAGTCTCATCATAATCAGATTTATTGAAAATAACTGTTAAACCTCGATTTAAAACTCAACAGAATGTAATCTTAACACACATTGGTTTGTCATCTGGTTTTCATCTCTTACGTTCGGGAGAAGTTCGGCGACAATCCCTGCTCCTCGTTGATGGTCCTTTGTACCCGAGGAGTGCAAACCGGTGGGGATGAGACCCTGATCCCGCCGCTGGGCAAAGTGGTGAGCTCAGATGACGTGCTGACCAGGATGTGCACCGTTTCCATTGGGGGGATAATTCCAAGGTTAACCACTAGCACAGTCCTCTCAAAGTCCTCATCCACCAGTATGTTCCCTGTAGCTCCAGTTTAGAAAAGATAAAATAGTATTTTGTGTCAAAAACCATTGTAAATGTATTTTAAAGTAAACTTTAATAGTGGATTCTTTGGTTATTTTTTTTTTGCTTTCAAACAACTTCCTTGTTACAGCACAGTTTTGTTTTGCAGACAGAAAAACTAATTGGTCTGCAAATGGATCTTTAAAGATATGTCTAATGATGGATTTAAAATAGTAGCTGGGTGAATTTTTAGAAACCCTTTAGGGCTGAATTATTAATGGTGCTTGCAGTCTCTGAAAATTAATCCAATATTTGCCATTCTTATTCTCTTTGAGTATGAAATGACAGAGCATATTCATATAATTACAGACAGAAAAATAAGCATTGAGCATTTCAGCATTTTTCTCAGTAAACATATTTAGGACACTTATTCATCAGATTTTGGTAACATCCAAAAATATCCTCACATACAAGGAAATCATTGTCCATGCATAAAGTATTTCATGTTATTGGCAATAAAGTGAGAGGCCAAAGGGAAAACGGATTGTATTTAAATAGCAGAAGATGTTGATGATGATATTATATTATGTAGTAAATCCCAGCTGCTTTATTTTCTTTCTCTGAAACCAGTTGAGCATTTCCTTGGCTTTGCTCAAGGCAATCTGTCACTCAGTAACAGACTGCTGCATCCTAAGAGCACAAAGGAGCATCAGCATAGATCCCTCCTTCCAGCAGCTGTCAGACTATATTCTGTTTATATATGTTCCTTGTTTCATCCTCAGAATCATGGTAACAGATTCACATTATTAATAATATCTCAGTAAATTCAGTGTGAAATAATCTTCACACCACCAAATGTTGGTGTTGCTGCAGCAAACTTTAAATAACCTCCAGTGTGTTTTCTCTTCAGCAGTGGAGTCTGGTGCAGAGAGGTGGCATTGCAGCTGAGTGTGTTACTTCTTGGGTTGTTTTTTTATTTTTTAAGCAACAGTACAAATTAAGTTCAGGTTCTTCTACAACTCTTTACAAGAGGTTTTTGGCTCCTTAACGACTCTTATTATTATCCTCTTGACTCCACTGTTGCTAATCTTGCGAAAATATATAGTTTTTGTCCCACTTCTGGAACATTCAGAAGTTTATAAATATATATTTAACAAATGTCATCAGTATTTTTAGCAAAACTGAGGTTGTGAAGATCTTTTTTCCTCATGTCGCCATGAAATACATTTGTGTTTCCATGGAAAAGAGGAATGTCTTTACAGGCTATTAATAAAAAATAAAGCACCTGACATTAATTTCTCCTCAGGGAGGTAGAATTGCTTTCTAAATACTCAAAAGTTTGCCTTTCTTCAATTCTTTTTATATAATTTTCCCCAACTTTTCTTCATGTTTCCAAATCTTCTCATTATATTTTATTACATGTAAATGAATTTATCAGATTATCTGATTTTACTGCACATGTGGATGACTTATCTGTTGTAAATGTCATGTCAAAAGCCTCATCACAGATATACCAGGAAGGATTTTGCAGTGTAATATTCATTTTCCCTGCTGCATTGCTAATGCATTCACCAGTATTGTGTATGAATAATACCCATGTCTCTCAGTAGCTTCATTAGATTATGACTTGCCTGCTGCAAAACACTGAACCAGACAGTACAGAGAGGGATCTAGGATCAACATAAACACTTTACAGAGCTGGAAAAGATCCTCAGACTTCGATTGTGCAGTTCTGCGCTTTCATCACAGTAAACCCCCTGTACGCCGCACAAACAGAGGACTGAGCTCATATAACAATATTGATCTGAGTCCCTTCAGCCTTACCGGTGCCGCTCTGGAGACCCCCGTTAGCGGTGTGGCAGATGTCCTGATAACAATCATCAAGTTTTGCCTTGCCTTTTATTTGCAGGGTTATAATTTGACTGGATATCATAGCCTCAAACCCAACAACAATGGAATTTTCTTCCAGTGGATATATGAAGATACCTTCAGGGAAGAAAGAAGAAAAGACTGATGCTCAGAGGTTTGAATTGCTTCAATGTGTCTGTGGCATGCAGTCGTCTCGCTTACCCTCAATTGCGTGATCCTCAATATTCTCGTAGGTCATAGAGGCCGTCAGAGCCAGAGTATAACCCCTGACACAGCAGGTGATGTCAGACACACTGAGGGGCAGAGCACACTGGCTCTCCTTGTTAATGAGTCCAGGCATCCTGCTGGCTTTAGGATTCTGCTTTGAAAAGTAAACAGAACCAAATCCGTACATTTGATTAAAATAGGAAAATTGTTGGATCTTTTTTTTTAAAACTTCACACAGTGAGAACAAAAGAAACGTTCTCCTTTGCTGTTTACATAGGATTTGTGATAGAAAGTACCAGTCAGGTGCTTCTAATTCCCAGTTAGTTAAAATGCCATGCTAAATCTGCCAAAACCTTGAGAGAATTGTTCTGTTCTGCTGATAGAGCCAAACATTGCCTAAGACAGTGGTTCCCAAACTTTTTCTCATGGAACCCCCCATTGGTTTCCAAACTATTTCTGGGGCCCCCTATGGATTACAAATAGCTGTCTGGTTGAACGATATGTGTGAGCGAAGGGGGTGGGGGGTGGATTCTTAGAGACTCCCTGTTATACTCAGCCCCGGCTCCATACGAACAAGTGTGTGTGTGTGTGTGTGTGTGGGGGGGGGGGGGCAAATTTTTTTGGGGGAAAATAAAATAGACGCAAAAAAAA